ACACGCGCTTCTTCTGTTTGAGGAACATGAAGATTCATTTCATCACCATCAAAATCGGCATTATAAGGCGTACATACGCATTCGTTGAAACGAAATGTTCGCCACGGCTTAACACGAACCTATAAATTCATAAAATGAAAGTTAGACAGAAAATAAATAAATAAAAATAAAAAGTAATATATATATAAATATATAAATAAAAGAATAAAAAAATAAACTTATTTATAAAATAAAAATGCATTACATAGTGTGCCATTATACTAAGTTTATGAAGAGAAGGCTGTCGGTTAAATAAGACCACGTCGCCATCCCTCAAATGACGTTCTACTACATCACCAATTTGTAGTTCAGCAGCGCATGCGTCTTTTGCTGATTGATCTGCGTATTTAAGGTATCTAATATAAAATTACAAAGACCTAAATGTAGATTCGATTATTTATATTTAATGTATTTAATGGATATAATTAAGGATACGTTACCTTTTCCCTCCGGACATATTTTTGACAAAATTTGCACCAGGATGCACATCTGAACCATTCATTATACACTTGCGTAATTTCTCTATATTATGTGCAAATACTCTTTCCGGATAAGTCAAAACCTTCGCAACTAGCTCAGGTACTGCTACCTAATAATACCAAATAAAAACAATCACTTTATGCAAACAGTTGTATGATTCTTGTAGAACAAATAATTTCAATGAAACATGCCTCATCAATTCGCAAATTAGGATCAGGTGAAATTACTGTTCTGCCTGAAAAGTCAACACGCTTTCCAGATAAATTTCCACGAAATCTTCCTTGCTTTCCTTTTAATCGCTGGCATAAACCCCTACTCGGCTTTGCTACCTGAATACGATATCGTAAACTTAAATCAATTGACAGTATTCACTAAATCTAAATGAAAGTGACATTGAAAATTACCGCCATATTCCCAAGCCCTGGCATTTCACTATTAATGTACATTGCGACTGTTAGCTGTAAATAATCCCATTGTTCCTATTATAATGAATCAAAACAAATAATATTTAATAAAAAATTATTTTTTTAAATTAGTGATCGTACCCGGGTAGAAATTGCTGCTATATACAACAGCTAATCGAAATCTGTAATGACTTACCCGGATAACCCGGGTATTTTAATAATACCTGTGTAGAGATTTTCTTAACGGGTATAATCTCTATTTTAAACGCATTTAAAACACTCATAATAAATTATTACGTACCACCAACTGTGAGATAGTGATTCCTTTACTCAAAGCTGCAGCAATATTAGTATTCGTCTGGACAATTTCAGATAATTTCACAGTCAAATCATCTTCTGTGCTATAAATATTAAATAATAAGGAATCTACTTAATTATTACAATAAATAAGAGAATTTGGAAAACCCGAATAAAAAAGTTGGAGAGTTGAAAATAATAATGTAGTTACATAATAATGTCTGAAAAATAAGCGATAATTATTTCGTATTAAAGCATTACCTCGCGTTATCTTGAGCAATTGAAGGACGAATTGCAACAGGTGGTACTGGAATTCGTTGCCATATAAAAAGTTCAGGCCTCGCGTTTTGTGGATCCAAACCGAGTAGTTCACAATCCTGTAGTATAACATTTTATAAATACCTAAATTTGAGGCCACATGTAAATCCGAGCTCGAGTTACATATAAAGAAAATTAATTGTCTCACATCATCGGATATTTTTTTAAATATATCGAGTACTTTCATTGCATTCAGATCTTCTTGTGCCTTATGTAAATGCGCTTTTAATTCTGGCATGGTTTCTACAGCATTAATGAAAGTACTTTTAAAAATTTCTTGTTCATCAACCGCTTTCTTTGGTTTAAACTTTTCGTGAACAATTTTAATTGCGCCAACTTTTTTTACAGAACCATTAATCGCATGACAGTACGGACATTCTACTGTTTTTTTACATAATAAATTTATAGATTTTTCTATTTTTGCACGTGCTGCAGACTCTTTACAACTTCTTATTCGTTTCAAATAAGATCGCCTGTCGTCTTCTTCCAATAAGACGTGACTACATGACTAATTTTATGAAAAGATTAAAATTTATTAAAATTTTTATTCTCGTTAAGCAGACACATACATCTTAATAAAATTTAAAAATAAAATACCTTACAAATATTTTGCAACATATTGATAACAGCTTTAAAATAACCAATGTGAAATACTGGTAAAACCAGCTTGACATAACCGAAATGGCCAATACACTGAGCCATTCTTTCACCACATGTTTCGCAAAGTATGTCATGATCTGAAGTTCCCTGTGAAGTTTACGCGTTTTAACAATTAGCAATAAATTTTTTTCAAACATTAATTTTCAATAATAAATTGATAAATCAACAAACCAAGCGCGTATCTAGGACACCATTTTCCATTGGAGCTCGATTCTCATTGAAAAGATCGCGATGAGTAATGGCCAGTTGTGCATTTTTGACGATCTCTTGTGGAGAAAGCACACTGAATTGAATATGTTTGCTAACAACAGTAATGAAAATTCATTTTAATAGGTGTAGTGAATAAAAACTTTTAATGTTTTATGGAGTCCTTTAATTCTTACATTTTTCGAGGAGCCGTTTCGAGAACCTGTTCTTTCATTTTAATGTGCTTTGTAAATGTTTGAAATTAAATAAAATTTTGAAAGAG